TAAAGTATAGTTAGTGAAAATTTCTTTACTATAACAAGAGTAATGAAATGTCGTTACTTTTTCGCTATAATAATTATGCATAATTGCTATAATTGAGGAAATTTCCAGACTCCCTTCTCCCTCATTTTTACAGCTATTGGAGTGAAACATGCTACAATGGTAGAACATGTTTACCACTGTTAGCCCATCAGGTTTCAGATGGGCTAGCCATGGATTTTTGGGGAATTTTCAAAATCTTTAAACAACATTTTAAAAAATAAAACTACAAGAGCTATCTCCTTGAATTTTCTATACAATGACACATGATAACAGGGGATCATTACCCCCAGCTTTCAGAAATATCCATACATGTACAGATTTTAGGATTTTTTTTTTAAAAAATGGCAAAAACATTTTTAAAGCCGTAACAGCAATCTCATTAAATGTCTCTCATATTAACCAATAGTAAACAATATCAACTAATTCTACATTTTCATAGAATCCTAGAGTTGGAGGGAACCCCAAAGTGCCAACTAGTCCAACCCCTTCTTCCAGATAGAAGGAAACCATCAAAACTCTCCTGACAGATGACCATTCTTCCTCTAAACTAATTAAGGTGCTTTCCCTATTGAGTTGGAAGGGACCCCCAAGGGCCATCCATTTAGGGATTTCTTCCCAGCCCAGCATTGATTTACTTACTAGAAGTATCAGTTGGTCTTCCTCCTTGCAGATTCAATAATTTATTGGAACTCTGACTGGCTGCTGCTACAGAGAGAGAAATCTCTCCCCTATCCTAGCTTTCTGATGCTGAGCAGAGTTCTGAGAATTCTGGGAAATCTAGTTTAGGGCAGGGCCTTTTGAAATTTCTGGCATAGGTCTCCTCACCTTCCCAAACTACATTTCCCTGAGTTCTGAGCTTTCTCAGTCTCTTTCCCAGTGAACTCTGCTCTCTGCTTTCCCTCTCCTAATGGCAAGAGGCCATTAATTTAAAGAGGAAAGGCAGCCTTTTTGGCTTTGCTTTGCTTTGCTTTCTTGCGCTGAAAATGAAACTAACTTTGGGAGGCTTCCAAGATTTAGAAAATACAAATAAAAAGTATTGGGTAAGTATTGATTCTTAAGTGTTTGGCACGAGCCATGGCCATGTGTTGGATATAGCTTCGTATGTACAAAGTTAATGAATTTGATCTGACTTACAAGAAATAATGGCAAAAATTGCACACCCCTAATGCAGACATATATTGGACTTACATATGTTGCCATCAGGATATTTTTGCATATGTTACTAGCAGGATGCTGTCCTGAGTGCTAGTAATTTCAGCTATTTTACTGAAACATCCCACTGTTTTAACAGTTTTATGGTTTTGCTATCGGACTTGTTTGTATTTTATAGCTTTATAAAAGTCCCACCTTGAAACTTTTAAAAGTGAAAAATTATCTAGAAGAGTTTTAATCCATGAAAAGGAACCAAAACAAGTTTGAAACCAAATACTTTAGAGGAGATTCCCATAGTGCAGAGTTGGGCTCATTTAGGACCACTGCAGAGTGCAGAGTTGGGCTCATTTAGGACCACTGCAGAGTGCAGAGTTGGGCTCATTTAGGACCATTGGTTTCAGGAAGCTTAAGCATGCCTCACTCTGCCTTGGGTTTGAACCACAAGACTTCCTTCTACAATATGGTGCCAGTCACATTTTGCTGAGGAGTCCATTAGTGCTGAGGTTTTCAAATCCCTATCATGTGCATGCCATCTGTCAATCTTGTTATTTTTAATTTTGTTAACTGTACAGAATCCACCTGGAAGTACTGTGCAAGGTGACTTTATAAAGGCCCTTTGCAGTGAATATTAATAAAATGTCATAAATCCACTGTGTGTTAAAGCATCTAGTTCAGATTGCCCATATACAATAGACACAATTAGGCCCTCATAAGGGCAGGTACATAAAATACCAGTAGGGAGACTTGGGGATAAAAACAAAGAGCAAATCTCTTACTTTGACAAAACAACACGAGAGCTAATAAGGGCTGCAAAACCAACTGAACAGCATTAAAATATGTCCATCTGTCTGTTGATATAACACAAAAATATCAATAATTTTACCAAAGACTTTTGCCTTTCTCTGCTGTACATTTTTAGATTCAGCTATCTATCCAAAATCTTTTGACTGAAGTCATGCTGTCCACACAGGTCCAGTTGCCCCTGTTCCACAAATTCTTGGGGCACCTAAGAACATTCAGCCTCCTTCTATGGATGCTTCTTTTGCTCAAGCAATAGTAATCCATCCACTGTTGTTTTCTATTTTCATGAGTAAGATTAAATATATGGCAATTATGCCAAGTAGACATTGAATCAAGATAAAGAAAGATCCTTGTGCTATTCAGTCTAAAAAATGAAGAAATTATGCATGCAGAAACATTTTCTTCATTATTATAATTTCTTTCCATTTCATCCCAGCTGTCGAAAAGCATCATGTTTGATCGATGAATGTACTTCTCTTTCCGTTCTTATGAAGTGTTCCTTCTGTTGAGATTATGAGTCCTATGACAAGATAGTTTTGATTTTCTTTAATTTACAATTAAAATTACTGTAATTTTAATTGTGTATATATATATATATATATATATATATATATATATATATATAATTTAAAGCTAGCAAAGAAATATATTATATATAGTAGATGCAAATTGAAATGCATCCAACAGTTTATCCCACTAATTACAATTGCAAGTTCCTCTGGATGTCCCAAATAAGTGATCTGGAGACTTATATTATACATCAAACTGGTTTTAATCAAACTGGACACAACTTTAAGCATACTTAAATCCTATCCCATCCAATGAGATGGAAGGGCGCTATTAAATTTTCATTGAGTCCAGTGGTTGTTTTTTTCATATCAGGAGCGACCCGATAAACTGCAAGTCACTTCTGGTGTGAGAGAATTGGCTGTCTGCAAGGACATTGTCCAGGGGATGCCCGGATGTTTTATCATCCTTTGGGAGGTTTCTCTCATGTCCCTGCAAGGGAAGCTGGAACTGACAGATGGGAGCTCACCCCGTTCTCTGGATTTGAACTGCTGATCTGCCAGCACAAGGGTTTAACCCATTGCACCACTGGGAGCTCCTATTGAGTCCAGTAAGAATTAAATTTGGCTACTTTCTACACTTTTCCCACAGAAAGAAGTTCCATTAAGATGACTTTGTTCCAAGGAAGGTGCTTTGTACTCGAATATCTAGCTTTGCTCAACACACACTGCTTGTAAAATGTATGAATTCTAACCCCCCACACAGTACACACCTTCAATAAAGAAAGAATTGTGCTTGATATAAATATATACAAAGGGAATTTGTAGCATGTTTCAGATAGAGAAAAACGTCTTTTGTAGCATCAGCTTTTGAAAACTGGGTCTACTTCATCAGATGCATTGGCATGAAAGCTGATGCTACAAACTACAATATCCCTTTGCATACTGATATTACAGATGAGCACAGCATATCATTTGGGTAGGATGGGATCTAAAAATCTCCCCGTCTTGATGTCGAAACATCAGGTTTGGGTCCAACTCTACAGTGAAAATAATTGATCCAAATGGGCTGAGAGATGCCAACCAACAAAGTGAGCAAGTATGAATTGTGAGCCTCCAATTAAATCCTTCCAGCATCCTAAGAAAAAAAAGGCAAAGGTTTTCCTGACATTAAGTCTAGCCGTGTCCGACTCTGGGAGATGGGGCTCATCTCCATTTCTAAGCCAAAGAGCCGGCATTGTCCATAGACACCTCTAAAGTCATGACTGCAGCATGGAGTGCCATTCCCTTCCCACAGAAGTGGTATGTATTGATCTACTCATATTTGATTGTTTTCAAACTGCTAGGTTTGCAGAAGCTGGGGCTAACAGCGAGAGCTCACCCTGCTCTCGGATTTGAATGGCCAACTTTTCGGTCAGCAAGTTCAGCAGCTAGTGGTTTAACTCACTGTGCCATCCAAGAAGTTGGATCAAAATGTTCCTCTGGGTCCTGTTCACCAGAAAATGATGTCATGCTTCAAGAGTTCCCAGCTACACTCTCTTGGGCCCAATACCCCCCAGCCTTTTGAAACCTGTCTTTGGAATGGTTTAAAGCTAACCCAAAGTGAGTTTCATTTTCAGCTAATGGAAGCAAAGCCTCTCAAAGCCAGTTTCATTTTCAGTGCAAGGAAGCAAAGCAAAGCCAAAAAGGCTGCCTTTCCTCTTTAAATTACAGTAGAGTCTTGCTTATCCAACACAAACAGGCCAGCAGAATGTTGGATCAACAAAAATGCTCGATAATAAGGAGGGATTAAGGAAAAGCCTATTAAACGTCAAATTAGGTTATGATTTTACAAATTAAGCACCAAAACATCATGTTTTACAACATATAAACAAAAAAAGGCAGTTCAATACATGGCAACCTTATGTAGTAATTACTGTATTTACCAATTTAGCATCAAAACATTGCAATGTATTGAAACATCTGTGGATCCAGGCAGGAGGCAGACTGCATTGGATAATACAAAACATTGGATGAGCGAAGGCTGGATAAGCGAGACTCTACTGAAATGGCCTCTTGCCATTAGGAGAGGGAAAGCAGGGAGCAGAGTTTGCTGGGAAAGAATTTGAGAAAGCACAGACCACAATATCATTGGACTGAGTTGGAAACCCAAGTTCCCCCACTTTCCAAGAGAACTATTGCTAAGCGCAGGGCCCAATACTCGTTGGGATAAAACCTCAAGGAAAGGGAGGGAGGGGATCCTTTTCACCTCTAGGAGTTCAGATAAAGTTCAGATCCTTTGGGCCTATGGTTTCTCCAGGGCTGGCGAGGGAGGGGTCTAGTCCTGCTGCAGCATGCAAACCAGCAAGGCAGGAAGCATGCAACCTTGCAGGAGAGAGTGGCCCAAGGGGGACGAAGCCGGGGGAGGAAGGGGCTACTACACACAGGCGGTCACCGTCAAACAGCGCTTTTTTCCCGTCAAGAGAGCGATTGAGAGAGAGAGAGTGAAATGGCTTAACGTACACACACCCCGCTCCATACCGGAGAAGAGTCTCCCAGCTGCGTGGCCCGCTCGGCGTTGGCCAGCACCAGGCTGAAGCTGACGGCCCCCACGGCCACGCTGGAGACCCCCAGCCCTATCTCCAGCACGGAGAGCACCAGGAGGCTCCCGATGATCTGGCCGCTGGTGCACATCCTCGCTCGGTCATCGTTCCTGACACCAGGTCAGGGATCCTTTGCCCGGGGAAGGATCGGGGGAGACCCCTTCCCCTCCAGAGCAGGCAAACTTTCGTCCCTCCTTCTTCAGCAAGTGGGCATCAGCCCCAGCGAGGAGGAGGAGGAGGAAGAGAGGAGGAGGAGGAGGAGGAAGAAAGAGGAAGAGGAGGTAAAGAAGAGGAGAGAGGGGGAGGAGCGGAAGAAAAAGAGGAGAAGAAAGGAGGAGAGGAAGAAGAGGAAGAGGTAAAGATGAGGAGGAGGAGTAGGGAGGGAGAGGAGGTGGAGTGGAAGAAAAAGAGGAGGAGAAAGGAGGAGAGGAAGAGGAGGAAGAAGAAGAGGGGGCGGAGAAAGGAGGAGAGGAGGAAGCAGAGAGGAAGAGGAAGAATAGGTGAAAAGGATCCTCTTCCTTTCTTTGAGGAGAGGAAAATGAGGAAGAAGGAGGAGGAGGAAGGGAGAGAGGGAGGAGAGGAAGAAGAGGAGGAGGAGGAGAAAGGAGGAGAGGGGGAAGTGGCAAGGAAGAGGAAGAATAGGTGAAAAGGATCCCCTTCCTTTCTTTGAGTTCAGGAAGAGGAGGAAGAAGAAGAGAGAGGGGAGGAGAGGAAGGTGGAGAAAGGAGGAGAGAAGGAAACGGAGAAGAAGAGGATGAATAGGTGCAAAGGATCCTCTCCCTTTCTTTGAGGAAAGGAAGAGAGGAAGACAAGGAAGTGGAAGAGAATGAAGACGCTGGCTACTCTCAAGTCGAGGCTCCTTCTTCACTTGAGCGTGGCTCCCAGCCTTAGCTTGGCTCCTCTTGGAAAACAGGGAAGAGCTTTGGGTCTTCTCTTCCTTTCCCCGGTTCTCTTTGCTTTCCCTTCCTTGCTGAGGGAGGAAGAAGCCGCAGACAGGTCTTGGCGAAAGCAGGCGCCGCTCTCCAAGGTGCTGAATCCTTCTCCTCGCCGCTTCGCCTCTGTCTCCTCTCTCTCTGTGCGTGCGTCTCTCTCTCTCTCTCGCCTCCTTCCTTCCTGCTCTCCAGACACTTCCCAAATCACGCCGTTCTCTCCGGAGGTGGCATCTCTCACAGGCGCCCAATAGACCCAGCCGGGCGCATTTGGGATGCGCTTGCGCGCGTCTTCCTTGCAGCCCACGGCTGAGTCTGACTCTGAAAGTCTCTTTCTCCCTTCCTTTTCCTTCTGGAGGGCTGGCGAAGGCGGGTTCAAATCAGCCCCAACGGCTCCTTCAGAGCCTCCTCTAGTGAGAAAGACAAAGCTTGAGACAGAGAGAGATATAGCGAGAGGAGAGAGATCGACCTTGCCTGTTGGCCTCCTTCCCTCTCATTGGAATGACCTCCCCAAGAGTTGGCTGGAGGGAGGGGGCGCCCAAGGAGGAAAGCCCTCCCCAGAGAGAGGCGAGCAAGGACCAGGACCCCGCATCGCCAAGGGGAAAGTTCACCACGCACAACCCACGCTGAATATATTGTTTATATATCAAGAGTCCTCCTATACAACGCCTCCAAGCGCCTCCGTCTGTTTATGGCCCCAGATCCCCTCTGTGATGGAAGATGGAAGGCAGCGGGGTGCAAGACTTCCAGCACTGACTGCTCTCTGCCTCTCTTTACGAAATACTGGAAGCAAGTTATATAAATACTCCTCTTCCGGTTTACGTGTTCACCATAACAAACAAACATGCAGGGAAAGGATGAGAGTCCCCTTCCCTCCCTCTTTAGGGAATGAGATGCCCTCTGGGAGTTCTGACCCCCATCTATGAAACAATACAGGGGAGACAAAGAATCATAGAATCATAGAGTTGGAAGAGACCTCATGGGCCATCCAGTCCAACCCCCTGCCAAGATATATATATATATTCCCTATATATTTAAAAAAGTGAGAGGAAGCAGTGGAAAGGAAGCTTTCTAGCAGTTGAGAGGCTTCCAAGAGGGATGATTTGCAGGTATCAGGTATAGCCCTGAGCAATACCTGCAAGCCACATGACTAAGTGAGCTAATCCCATTCACTACCTTGGGAAGCTTTTCTGAAATAATAGCTTCAAGTACTAGGGAGCACTAGCTTTTAAAAAAGCGTAGGGTAAAGATTTTCCCCTGACATTAAGTCCAGTCGTGTCCGACTCTGGAGGTTGGTGCTCATCTCCATTTCTAAGCCAAAGAGCCGGCATTGTCCATAGACACCTCCAAGGATATGTGGCTGGCATGACTGCATGGAGTACCATTACCTTCCTGCCAGAGTGGTATCTATTCATCTACTCACATTTGCATGTTTTCAAACTGCTAGGTTGGCAGAAGCTGGGGCTAACAGCGGGAGCTCACCCCGCTCCCGGATTCGAACCTGTGACCTTTTGGTAAGCAATTTGAGCAGCTCAGCATTTCATAGAATCATAGAATTGGAAGAGACCTCATGGGCCATCCAGTCCAACCCCCTACCAAGAAACAGGGAAATCGCTTTCAAAGCACCCCCAGCAATTTAACCCACTGTGCCACTGAGGGTGCAAAAAAAAGAGAGTATTTTTTTATCAGGGACATGAAAGGGTAAAGTTTGGTTTCCATGGCAGCACTTTTATCATACCTTTCTCCCCTTCCTAACCCATCCTACCAGTGGTTGCTTTGACTACCTCCTAGGTATGTACTTGACTAAAAGCCTGCATTGCCTTGAAGCAAGAACATAAGCTTCAGGGATTGTCTGAAGTTAATCAGGCTGGTCAGTGCCCTAGATAAGGAACTAAACATCCTAGGGATGCTTCCTTGATTCTGTTGACAGAAGAATGATGGGATATAAATGTAATAACATGAACAGAAGCATTATGTGGCAGTGAGCCTGATTCTTATGGTTATCTCTTTAACAGTGGTATGTGTCTGATGGCATTTGCCATAAAATACGCCACTCTTCCTCAACCAAGTGCCCTCCAGATGTGGTGGAGTATAACTGCTGACACAGACCATTTTTTGTTTTTTTTTAACCCCCGGTGGCGCAGTGGGTTAAAGCCCTGTGCCGGCAGGACTGAAGACCAACAGGTCGCAGGTTCGAATCCGGGGAGAGGCAGATGAGCTCCCTCTATCAGCTCCAGCTCCTCATGCGGGGACATGAGAGAAGCCTCCCACAAGGATGATAAAAAAAAACATCAAATCATCCATGCGTCCCCTGAGCAACGTCCTTGCAGACGGCCAATTCTCTCACACCAGGAGTCACTTCTGACACGACAAAAAACAAAACAAAACACAGACCGTTAATTATTGGACATGACAGCTAGTGGATAAAAGAAATTGTCGTCCAAAGTGCAGGAAGACATTAGGTTGAGGAATGTCAAAATCACAAGTGATGATATTAGCTTCTATATACATGTATCTATATGTATCTATATACAAGAACTTCCCAGTAGCACAGCAGGTTAAACTGCTGAGCTGCTGAACATGTTGACCGAAAGGTTGGCTGTTTGAATCCAGGGAGCAGGGTGGGCTCCCACTGTTAGCCCCAGATCCTGTCAAACTAGCAGTTCAAAAACATGCACATGTGAGATCAATAGGTACTGCTCCGGTGGGAAGGTAATGGTGCTTCATGCGGTCATGCTGGCCACATGACCTTGGAGGTGCCTATGGACAATGCCAGCTCTTTGGTTTAGAAATGGAGATGAGCACCGCCCACCAGAGTCGGACTTGACTAGACTTAGTGTCAAGGGGAAACCTTTACCTTTTATATGTGTATCAGCTGCTTTTTAGATTTTGGTGATATTAATTTTTAGACTCCTGGAAATCCTTAGCCAGTATGACTATGGTTTTTGGACTTTTAGCTCAACAATCCATGTTTGCAAGCTCTGAGTGTATCTCAGATTCATATGGATTTATAGTTCCACTCCCGTTTTTGTTTCTTGGCAGCTGCAATTTTATTAAAGAAGAGCCAGCATCCCTGCAGGGTTTTTCACAATGCCCAGATACTGTTAAGGATGTTGTTTCCTGTACTTTGAGGTAGGCCATTTTGTCACTTCAGTAAGCAGGCATGTGAATAGATTTCCTTATAAGTATGCCAGCTCCTGTCTTAAATCAATCTATTTGTCCTTAATTGTTGCACTCTTCTCTAAAAAGTGATGTCTTACATTCGCAGAGAACATGGAAGGAATACGTGAGGTACAATGAGAACAATGTAATACAAGAAACAAGAAAAAAAAGACTAGCAGATTGGTTCAGAGGCAAGAAATCACATCTTTTGCAACTCACAACATCTCCAGACAACATTGACAATGGGTTGATGTGAGTTTTCCAGGCTGTATAGGCATGTTCCTGAAGCATTCTCTCCTTACGTTTTGCCCACATCAAAGGCAGGCATCCTCAAAGGTTGTGCGGTAGATTGGAAACTAAGCAAGGGAGGTTTATATGCCTATGGAAGGTCCAGGGTGGGGGAATGAACTCTTATCTGTTGGAGGCAAGTGTGAATGTTGCAATTAATCACCTTGATTAGCATTGCAAAACCTTGCAGCTTCAAGGCCTGGCTGATTCCTGCCTGGGGCATCCCTTGTTGGGAGGTGTTACCTAGCCCTGATTGTTTCATGTCTGGAATTCCCCCGTTTTCAGTGTGTTATCCTTTACTACATTGACAATGGTGGGATGTTGTGAGAATTGTAACTGAAAACATCAAGAGAGCCGAGGGTTGGTCAAACTAGCTTAACATTTCTCACCCCTAACACCTACTTGTAAATCATAAAAATATGACCTGCAGATGGATGGGTAGCAGCAGAAATAAGGGCAGGGGGGATAGGACAAAAGGGCATTGGTGTAAGTCATTCCAACTGCAGGTAGCAAAAAAGGTTGTGCCACTGTTGCATGGTCTCATTCAGTTTCAGATACATAGACTGAAAGATCTTAGGCATGGGTTTCCAAACATTAGCACAGATTTTCATAGCATTTGTTTAATCAGCACTTTGGCATTATTAATGCAGTGCTACACAGTTGCTTCCACATTCATCACATGGAAATCAATGGGTGTGATCGTTTTGTAAGGTTGCAAACGTTTTGTTGAATCATGAAAAATCCGCTTTTTGGTCGTGTTCTGTGAAATAGATACAGGCTCTTTATCCTGCCAGATTTCAGCAGTTTGAATCCCACTCATTTCATGGAGAGATTAAGTGAAATGCTTCTGTAAATGATTCTGTCATGCCTGAAGGAATCCTGGAAAATATATTCTCCACCACAACCATTCATTCCATCCTTGTCACTCTCTCACCTGTGCAGTCCTGGATGCCCTTCTTTCCTCCGCACCAACATACTTTCCCTGCCAACCCATATTTCCTTGGTCATTCAATGTTCTTTTTCCAAACTCAATGTCCTGTTGTCTTCATTTAATCCCTTCACCATACTGTCCACCTACCCACCCTCCACCCACCCCAGTACTGCTTAACCTAAAAAAACTATGATAGCCACCAGGGCCATAGCCAGAAAAAAAATTCAGGAGGGGTTGAAATTTTCAGGGGGGGTTGAAAATTTTGCAGGGGGGGTGTTCAGAGGCAGCCCTAGGTAATTTTCAATGGTAAGCAAACAGTATTTTGGCGCCCCCCCCCCCCAACCAATCACTGATATATATTTTCTGTTCATTGTGGGAGTTCTGCGTGCCATATTTGGTTCAGTTCCATCACTGGTGGAGTTCAGATGCTCTTTGATTGTAGGTGAACTATACATCCCAGTAAGTACAACTTGCATATGTCAAGGTCTATTTTCCCCCGAGAGCACCTCAAGAGCGCCTCTGGGCAAAATCAACTATACTGCAAATGCTTACTTTGCGTAATGGGTGAGCCACCCCTGGGGGTGTTGAAACCTGCTTCCTAGCTCACGCTGAAGCAAAGAGCATAGCAGGGGGCAGAGCAGCCTTCAATAGCCTGCAGCTCCACCCCTGTCAACCACCTCCACCAAGTCTGGCCTCCTTAATGAGAGCATTCAACACTCCCCCCTCCCCCAACTTGGTTGCTTCACTACATCGGCTATTGCTGCAAGTAATGACAGTGTGAATAAATTGTCAATATTTGCTTGAGATAGTGCTTACAGTTCTGGAGGGACTCTTAATTTTTTGCATCTCATAGACTTAGCATGGGGATTTGGTTAACCAGTTAAAATTCATGAGTAAACCAGGTTTTTTAAAAAAATCTGAAACATTTCAGGGGGGGGGGGTTGAACCCCTAACCCCTCCCCCCTCGCTACAGGCCTGATAGCCACCAATAATGTCCCACCTTTTGAAGGGAATACACATACAGAATTCCCACCACACCAGAGATGCCTCTGCACTGAATAATTAATACAGTTTTATAGCAATTTAACTGCCATGATTCAATGCTATAGAATCTTGGGTTTTGTAGTTTGGCAGAGAAGGCTAAAGACTATGTAAAACTACAACTCCCAGGATTCCAAAGCATTGAGCCATGGCAGTCAAACTGCATTAATTCTACTGTTCCCCAGGCCATTCTGTCCCTCTTCCATCTGCTCCCCTAAAACATCTCAGCCACAATCCTAACCCTAACCTTAACCCTAACCCTAACCCTTTGTCTGGTTCCTTCCTTCTCATCATTGACCCTTCTGCCAATCCAAGTGACACCCCAACCCTTACATGGGTCATC